TTAGGTCTGTGGTGCCCTGGGTTTTGACAGAGCAATGAAGATGGGCGTGATGATAGCAGCTTTCAAAGCCACAGCACCCAGGTTTTTCAAGCTCACTCACAGGAAAATACCACTCTTACAACCACTGCAGTGATTTATGTTGCAAAAACAAGCATGGAAATGTTCACCCATGCCAGATTTGAGGTTCCTGGGAGGACATGTTAAGATACAAGAAGATAAGACTGTGTTCAGAGCTATTCCTTGGGTAGGGCTGCCAAGCCCTTCCACACCTCACGAATAAAGGCACTGTTTGATACTTTTATCTGCCTCTTCTGTATTTTCTTGTATTTATAACAAAGCTCCAGAACCCAGAAAGAAACCTAACACCCCTCAGATGCTCATTGTTCCATGTTCACAGGCCTGACACACATCCACCGTCTGCTTCCCGGGATCAGAGGATCCAACAAATGGGAAGCACATTCACACCCGAGCCGGGGCCATTTGGCGAGCGGGTGACAGCGCCAGGATCCCAGGCCTTGGAATTCAAACCCCGAGCTCTTTTCTCCAAGCTGCAGCTGCCAAGTGATCACATTTGTGACTGATCTCAGTTGCCTGAGTGGTCAAAGCTCTGTTTATTGCTCCCCACAGGCTGAGGAACCTGGAAGCAGCAAACACAGCGTGCGGTGCCCGCGGCCACCTGGCACAGGCTTGGAAAGGGACCCGGAGTGCCCTGTCACGGATGAGGATCCCCCAGGGCTGCCAGGGAGTGGATATTTCCTGCCTGAGCCATGGGATCACTGCTTCACCTGCAGCTCTCTGCTCTCTGCAGCTCCCAGCACTTGTCAGACGCTTCTGCTCTTTCACTGCGCTCATCCCTTGGACCAGGAGGGAATGTTTTCCCTTGTCTGAACAGATTTAGTGAAGAATGTGCCAAGGAAGAACTGCACCACAGTGATACTGGAGGGGGGGGAGTGCTGACTATATTTATCAGCAGAGAATTTGCAAGTCAGAGCAGAAATCCACTTGTGTGTTGGTTGTTTTTTTTTTAACTGAAAATCATGCAACAAAAATACAGTTTGATGGAGGAACTGAATTTTGGCATTTTCTAACAGATTTGATAACCTGTCTTTGCTACCTACCACAAAAGGATAAACTAAACCCGAAACACTTGTAACTGAGGCTCCCTGTGTCACTGGTACAATTAACACAATCAGTTTGGAGCACACCTTGATCAACAGGAACAGCACTGCCCTGACAATCTGTGCAGGGTTACTGCTTTCAGCCTGACTGGAAGGGGACAAGGGTGCAGGAAGGGTTCCCAGCTCCACATGGCTCAGAGAGCTCCCAAGACACAGCCCTGCCCTCTCCTCCCAGCATTACATCAGCAGAGCTGCTCCCCGGGAAGATCCAACCCCTTCCGGAACAGTTATGCTGAAACAACGCCAAAATTTTACTAAAAGCACAAGCAAACACGGAGGGAGGTATCACTGAACAGGAGAAGGAATCACAGAAGGCATTTCTTTAGGACCAAAGGCTGCAGGGAAAGCTGCTGCCACCACAAGGACCTGCCCCTGAAGGGATGTCCCTTCTCCAAACACAACCACCTGCTGCTCCTATTTCCTGAGCACTGCAGACAACCCCAGGCCCAGCTCCACCCACCCTCCAACTCAACATTTCCATCATAATCAAGTGCTGAATGAGCTGCCTCAGTCCCTGAGGGACAAACTATCCCAGAGGTTTTAAGGCCCAGTTCCAGTTCTACACTAAACCCCCTCACGTTACCTGAGTTATTTGATTCACAACAGAAACACTGAAGAGCAGCTCAGCCACGACAAAACCTTTTCATCTGTTGCCACTGCAAAATACCAGATTGTGATTCACCTCTCAGAAATACCACAAAAGATCAGGATAATCCCAGCCTTGGGAATACTGTGGGAATGTGAATTAAATCAATGCTTTTAAATGGATCAAATTAATACAGGACACAGTTTTTGCTATAGGGAAACTTAACTGCTTCCTGTAGAGGAGCTGGAGCTGTTTTTAAAGGAGCTGCAGTGAGGTAAGAACATTTCCTTAAGAGAGAACTTTAAAGAGGCAAATCTACAAAAGCGTGTTGAACAATTACAGTTATTAAAACTGGCTAAGGACGAGCTGGACCTGAACTCCAAAGCTGGGCAATCCTTCCTCTGAGTCCCTCCCACATGGCCAGTAAACATCAAACCTTCCCACTGCCCTCTCTGAACTCCCCAAACCCTCCCCAACCCCTGCTCTGACCAAGGAAACAGCAGGGTAACCTATTGAGCTTCCCCACATCTAATTAAATGAGATTAAACTACTGGTTTTAGTCTTCCAGACATATCTCTCAAATACTATTACCTCATATTAAACATAGAAGTCCAAAAAAAAAAAAAATAACCAGAAGTTTTCAGCACAATTTTATTTTTTTTTAAACAAGACTTGTCAAAAAAAATTGACAGGGAAAAGCTGAAGAGCTTATAAAAATATTTTCAACTGTGTGATTAAAATTATACCACTTCTGCACGTCAGTCTCATGGCTTTTCATAATACTCCTTTAACATATTGGGAAATACTCATTCCAAGAGAAATCATTAGAGTATTTGAATTCAGATTTCACTCAGCCCTCTCATTCCCCTTCTGACTTATGTAACTCCTGATTTATTCACAATCCTCGGGCTCATTTAGCACAGGACTTCACACGAAGGTCAGCCAGTGTTTTTAACCACATCTCTTCTAGTTTCATTTTACCAGCAAACCACAAAATTCTGGATTATCAACTCCACGTGTTCCCCCAAAGATAAAACAGGCTACAGTCACCATTTTCTCACTTGTCACAGCACAACCATCACATGTCTCTATGGAAAAGTGGCTCCCCAAGCCACACTTCCCAAAATAAAAAAGATCCCTGTCAACTGGCAACCCCCTCTTCTGCTTTTTCACATTCAGTGCCTGTTAGCGAGTTGAAGCTCCATTTCCAAATATAACACAAGTTGTTTGTGGGGAAAAACAACATGAAAAACATCAGGAGGAGAGATGAGCAGAGGAATGACTCTGCTGAATTCGTTATGAGCATGTCTGAACCAGGATCCAGCACCGGGGTGGTCACAGTTGACAGCACTCCCCTGCCTGATGCTCCACTCAGCACATCTCCAATTAAATAAAAGATGCAGATGTTTCTTTCTTCCCCAAGTGGCTCAGCTCTTCTCCTTAACAAGAGTTACACCACAAGGCAGCTGCTCCAGTGGGTACAGAACGACTCTGCTTCTGGAATTTCGCTGAGAATGAGCCACTTTGTATCACAACAGCACATTTTTACCACTGGCAATTGGCAAGTGTGAATTTTAGGCTGTTCCAGATCCCACCCAGAGGCAGCTCAGCACCCTCACCACAGGATTCCATCCACAGTGGGAAGTTAGGATGCAGGGAGCCATCCCAGGGGACAGTCCTGCAGCGGGAAGTTCTTGCTGGACAACACCACAACAGCCTGACTACAGGAAACAAACATTTCTGACTGGCAAGTGTAACATGGGATAACTTTGGGATTCACAGAACTAAAGAGGGAGCCTCAGTTCAGATAAACATCTAGAACCAAAAGTGACATAAAAAACCAGAAAACTCATCCACTTCCCTTTTAATTAAAGCTCATGGACAAAAGATGAATGCAATATGAACTGCATTTATGTAATCTCAGAAGTTTTGAGGGTCTGATGCAAGGGCTCCACATCCACAGCTCAGGGCTCCTGATTCTGCTGCACCTCCTCACTACAGGCTATTTCAGATTCTAGGCTCAAGCACAGCATGAACCAAGAAGAATTAACAGCATAAACACTCCTACATCTCTTTAGAAACCTCTCCTGGTCTTTTCTCAGCAAGGCAAGTGTGGAAGAGGGGAAGAACTTTTGTTCTGCTCCCCCATTCTCAGCACACATCAAGTGACTTCGCTCTTCAAACTCCAAGAATAAGATTAAAACTGGATGCAAATGTTTCCTTCCTGACATTTTGTATTTGGATTTTTGGGACAAGTCATGCAAAAAGGTCACTGGATAATGAAATAAATGCTCCCAACACGATCCTCCCCAATGCCACAGGCTCTGGCTGCTCAGAACTCAGGGAGAAAAGCTGGAGCAGCAGCACCCCTCCATATCCTCTGCTGCCCAGGACATGGGCTGGAGAAGCTGGATAGGGCACTGCTCCCCTTCCAGAAGGTCAAAGGCACGATGAAATTCCTGCCCATGTTCCAAAGCCTACATTAGGGAGGTTTCAGCACTGAACTGGGTTTAACTGGATGGGTTATTTTTACTCCTGTGCCCCTATTAACATACAGGAGGAGCAGGACAGCCCTCCCAGCCCATCCCCACGACTTGGCTGCAGCTCCCAGACAGGTCAAATCACCAGAGCTTCAATAATATGTAAGAGACATGGAACAGCTTCAGTGCTGTGAAAGGCACAGTGGGAACATCTAAATGGGGACAAGTATCAAAGTGTAAATTCCTGCTGGGCCCTTGGGACACGGTGACACCACCACGGGCAGCCCTGGTGTGCTTGTTCCTGGGACAAGGTGACACCACTGCCCTCCTGCCCCAACTCCAGACCTCCAGTCCCATCATCTGTGTTCAATCCATCACGTCAGTGCCAGCAGCACTTTGGGAACAGGCCCCTGGGCTGTGCTTTGGGATCCACCTGTGGCTGGGATAAGGTTTTACCTTGGTTCAAGTCTCTGTGTTTCCACAGTGGTGACACACGGAGCAACAGGGCACCCAGAAGAGAAAACACACCCAGTTACATCCCAGGAGCCAAAGGCCAAGAGGTGACAGCTACAACCCCATCCTGAGGTTTGGCCCCAGCAGGGACATGACAGGACTGCAGTGCCATGCATTAACCAGAGGAATTCCAGGGAAACCCTGTTAGAGGAAGCCAGAAGCATTAACCACCAACACAGTCCTGCCTGAGAGGTTACAGAGCCTCAGTCCAGGGGATTAATGTGCATTCCCAGAGTTTGTTACCTCTCCACAGTCCTCCAACTGCACAGACACACCCATCTCTAACAGCTTCACTCGGGGAATTCCAATTACAAGCCTCCAGGTCTTCAGACTACTGGTATGGGAACATGGGACAGTTACTCTGAGCTTCAAACACTTCCAGAGGTTTCTACAGAAACGGGATTTAGTGTCACAGGAAGAATTTAGGGTCGAGACAGCAAGAGGACAAGGTGTTCTGGTGCAACCAGCACTACAGTGTCCCAAGGAGATTGGCTAAATCCCTGACAAACATGCTGGGAACAGAAATAAGTGAAACCCGTGACATCCCTGTGGAGAAACCAGGAGTGAGCCTCACCCATCCATGAGAACCTCTGCCACCACTTCCCATCTTCAGGGGGCCCTTTACTCCCCTTCTAACAGCTTCTGACCCCTGAGAGCACACACAGATCATCAAACTACCTCCAATCTTTAATTCTTTTAATCCCAAAGCATCCAGCCAGCAGAGCATCATCCCAGTTTGGAAGCTGCACCACTCCCTGTCAGTGTGTAGGAAGTTACTCCTCCTCCCTCCACAGTGACTCTCACACCACACACACACCCCCCATGTCTAACCTGCACCAGCAAGTGAGGCAGCAGCTTCCACTTCCAAACTGCTAAATGTGAAACTTAACAGTGCAATTGTTTGGATATATTAATAATGGAAAGAAAATCTAATCTAGGAACAAAAAGCAGAGATCATTTTGTTAAAGACCAAGGTTGAAAGGATTCAGACACAGGAGACTGGACTTACCCTGCAGTGACTTTCCCAATCCCTGGCCCAGCTTCCACCCATGTTTCTGGAGTAAGCGGTGTCCAATATTATCCTGACAGACAGAACAGAGAAAACAAACCAAAAATATTCCAATAATATATTCTTCGCTTCCCGCTGACATTTAAACATGTGATGAGCAAGAGATCTTTCTACATATATAGGCATGCAAAAAAAATGCTACTGAAAAGGCAATAGATGCCCAATAAAAGGGAAAGACAAATGTCAAAAATTGCTGGCTAGAATTTTTCCAGGGGGATGGGTATCAGGGACGGTCACTTTCTGATGGTGTGCTGGGCAACTTTTGTGCATCACGTTTAAAATAAATAAAAAAATAATAGTAATAATAAAAAAAAAAAAAGCAATGTGGGAGAAAATAAAGTGTACCAATAAAAATTGACAGTAAAAAGCATAAAATCAAGCTATTTATACAATCATATCCATCACCTAGACAGCACCACTTAAGATTTTTTTGGTAAAGAAAATCTACAATGTGTTTAGTCATTTTGTTTGTGTGTCAGGCTTTTATAATACTGAGTAAGTTGTAAGTGCAAGACTGCCCCACCACTAGAAACCAAAACACAATCAGAGCAAAATCCAGGCTAGACTTGATTGGGTTTTTTTTATATATGTGTATATATATATATAAACTAGCATGCAGCCAATATTAAACTGAAAAAACAGTGAGGTTAGTAAAACAAAAAAATAAAATCAATTAAATAAAATGAGCTCAAGCACAGACTGGGTGATGCATTTCACATGTAAACTAACAAAAATACTAAGATGTTAGAATGAAACAGGCCTAGCAATAAGTTAACAGCAAGGAACCATTAGTGCATGTAGGGGAAACAATAAGCATAATGTCTCATCTTCCTAAACAAAAAAGCTATTTTCGAATAAGTGGAAAAGTACTGACGCAGCAATTAAGTGTCAGCTTTTGGAAATCGGGCTGAGCAAGGCTCAGGGTGGAAATTGTTGTGTTTTTCTGCAAGGTTTGTGCCCCCAGACAAAGACCAGAGCACTCAGGGCACCCTCCAACCATCTGAGCTGACAGCTCTGCCCTTGGTGACCAGTTTACCCAGTTAGAAGCAGTGACCAACTGCCAACTCAGCAAAGGAGGACTCTGGGCTGGGACCACGTTCACCTCCTAATCATCAAAAATAAAAATAAAATAGGCACTTGTTGGTTATTAATTCTCATAAGGCAAACAACTTGAGATATACAGAAATATCCTGAATTATAACAGGATCCATAACACTGAGGGTACATGGAACCTTAAAAAAGAATTATATATACATATATATATGTATATATATGCTGAAGGTTTCTTTAATTAAATAACCAAGTCATCAACAGAAACCAGAGTACCAGTGGTTTTGTCACTCCACAAGGTTTGCAGAACTTTGGTGAATCAGCTTGAAAGGCACAGCCTTTCTAAAGATATTGGCTGCATGGATATATTTTTCCTCAAAAAGATGTTATCAAGGATAAATTCTGGAATTTTTCCTGATATCCCAGTGAAGCACTGTCTGTCTGTAGTTCTCAAGGAATAAGTGCATGTCTTTCCCATGGCACTGGCTCTCCCTCAGGACATAATTAGGGCCCCGGGGGGAAAAAACAATTTGAACCAGGAGAAGTAAAGGAATGTCTTGGGATAAAAGCAATAAAGCAAGATGGATTCCCACCACAAACACCACGGAGAGGATTAGGACTGTCTGTCTGTTGGGAAGAGGAGGAAAACTTACCTGCAGGCACACCTGCCCTGAGCACAGAGTGCCCAGTCCTGGAGCTCGAGGGGCTGGGACAAGGCACTGATTGTGCTACCCTGACAAAGGATCTTTGAATCCCTCTGTGCTGACAAAAATGGCTGCGATTCCCAAAAAAAAAAACCAAAAACTGAAACAAAACAAATTAAAAAAAATAAATAAATCCAAAGGACAAGGAGTACTTTGCATCTTGGCCAAGTGGAGATGAGACATTGTGCTGACTGTGTGTGTTATGAATGCACTAAAATAAAGACAGATGAAGCAGAACGCTATTCCAAAAGCAGTGCAAGTGGAGTGAAAGCATTTCCATACGAACCTGGCTTTAAAAACTGGGCTGTCAAAAGAACAGTTAAATGTAACACAAAGTAAGAAACTGTCCAATCACTAATGGTAGTTTTTTTTTTTTTCTTTTGCTTTGTTTTCAATTCACTGCTTGCAAGTAATGTATTTATTAAAGAAGAGTGAAAGCATAAAATAAATTCAACAAGTCAAGACCAGCTGGGAGATTCAAGAGCGGTGTGTTGTGACTGACACAGTGAAGGGGGAAACAAATGTTAAAGGGAAAAAGAAAAATTTAGAAGGGTTATACACATTAGCACCACTTTTACAGAACCACTCAAGAGGATGGTCGCGAGTTGTTTGACATAAATTGGAATGATGCCTGAACATTGTCCTGTCTCAGTTCCCAGGAAGGGGGTGGTTTTCCCAGCCCAATTTTTTCCATTTGTTTGTTTACACAGTGGAGCTAATTTTAAATCCTGCTGAATTGAAATGGAGCATCTTCTGTTTCGCTGAGAAGGGAGGAGAACTCCAGTAATTTAATATTAATATTTGAGCTGGGACCCGGTCATTAGTCTGCTCATTTCCAGCCACGTTCAGTCTCCTCCCTCCTCTTCCAATGGCTCTGACAGAGGCAGACTGACAGAACTGCCCTTCAGTGCAAATGCTGCCCTAAAAATGAGATGACTGAAGGCCAGGCTTGCTGGGCTCCCATGTGGGGCCAGTCTGCAGAGCCTGGGGAGTAGCCAGGGGTACTGGGACCAAAATTTGACATGGAGCAGCGAATGCTGCAACAGCCAGCAGCTTTTTTCATTTAAATTGCATTTTTAAGTGACAGTTCTGTAAAAGTACAGCCTCTTTCACATAGAAAAGATGGGTTTTTTCACAGAAAACCTCCTGTCTGTGTCAAAGGCTGTCATTCCTTTTGAACAGACTATCCTCAGCTGCAGCAGTTTTCCTACAGAAGAGCTGCACTGATGCACAGAAATGCCACAGCTGAGGAGGGCTGGCACGAGCCTCCTCACTTTCTTCCTCTGCCATCCTGGAGCTCCCTGTGTTACAGCCACAATAAAAATTTTCGAGGCAGCCAAAACAGGTGTCCCAATAGGTGTTTGAGTGAGCAAGGGGGCTCTCCTGTACCACCCAAGGGGGTGGGCACCCAGCCGTGGGGGCTGTGGGTGCTCCATGCAGGGAGAGCAGCTCTGGGTGGAACAACTCCCACCCCCAGCATTATCTCACCCCTCTGGAGCTGATCACCAGTGATCATTTCTATTTACAGATGGAGAACTTGGCATTAATGACAGAGCATAACTTTTCCAAAGGGTATAGGAAATGCAAGGTCTTGACTGCACGAAACCCTCATGGAGCTGGGGAAAAACCCCATCCCAAGCGAGAGGCTCCACCAGCTCAAACTGGGCTCCTCAATTCCCCATCCTGTGCCCTCACAAGATGCCCTTGGCTGCTTTCCACAGGGATCAGTGATTCCTACGTGGGGTATCCCCAGCAGAAATTTCTAACAAAGGTTCTGGCCAACAGGAAAAGAAATTGCTTCAAATTCAAACATCTGTCGAACGCAAAGGTTTTGGTGATGCCTGTGGGGTGATGCTGCGTTACGGATAAACCACAGCACTCGTTTTGCCTGACAGGTTTTCCATGAGATCCCCAGGGACTGTGTCCCCACTGCCCATCCCAGCAGGGGCAGGAACCATTCGTCTCTTGAGTGGATTGTAAGCTGTGCTCACTGTGTATGGAGGAATCTATAAGCAAGGATCGGATGCTACTGGGTGAACCCATGCAAACAAGAGGTTGAAAAGATTCCCAAAACAAAACCTAGAGCTCACTACAGATGACACAATGAAGACCAGAGAGAAAAGCCAAATAGTAATGCTACACCATTCAGCTTCCAGAAGCACATTATTTATAGCGCTGTCCACATATGGCTGCTGCTAAATGTCAAATCAGCAGCCTCATCAAATGACACTTTGGAACTAGTGGAGTCCACAGATCCGTACAGATTTCCAGTGCGACACAGCCCGGCCCCGGCTCGGCCGGGCTCCAACAGCCCGTGGTGTCAGACACCACCGACTGCAGCCTGGGACCTGGGGAGCTCAGGGACCTCCTCTGTGCCCCAGCAGCATTAGAGAGAGGGGAAAGGACATTTGTTAGTCAGGACAAGGACAAACTAACAAGCTCCAGGGTGAGTGGGGGGTTCCCAGTGTGGCCTCCAACCTGCAGCGGTGCCGGCGTGGGTGGAGCCCTGACACTGCCTGCACGGGGACGGGGCTGCTCTGGGGGGCTCTAGGGGGGTCCCAGTGCTGCCTCCTACTCCATCTGCACTGCTGGGACGAGGCAAACCAGGAATTCACAGCAAAGAGATTCGATAAACAAGTAGAGATAAGGAATTAACGTGAAGAAAATCTGGATTCTGTTCAAGCTGCAATACTTTGTGACTTCCCGTTCGGGTACCTGAACTCAGTGCACTCAAAATACTTCAGAACAAACACATGCAGCTTCTGGGATCTAAAAAAAGGGTGAAGTGCTCTGATTTTTCAAGGACATCAGACAGCAGTGGTTGCACTGACGTGAACAGCCAGTGTAAGTGCAGCATCTTTCAAACCACAACAAGAAAAAAACGTTACTTGTGGGGGGGGAAAAAAAATTATCAGTATTTGCAGCTCTGAAGAGTCCATTGATATGAAATATTTTCTTCAATTTAGTAATGGAAAATAGCTGGCACTCGTTCAGGTCCATCCCTAGCTCCTGGCAGCTCTGTTTTCCATAAATGTACTCTGGTCAGAGTCGCATGTTTCAGTCCAGACATCTTTGGCCTAAACTCGCTGTACACAGCAGGATTTCCACAGGAACAGAAACACCAGTAGGCTAATTGAGGACACGTTTCAACATTGTAATGATCTGTAGACTC